GGCAGGAGTTGGAAAAAAAACCACCCTGTTTGCTTTAACTCAAGTTACTCCAAAAGAATTTCTGATGTGTCAAAGAAAAGTTCATTGTTTGTCTCGTTCTCATGCTCTGACATGACAGAGGAGTGAGTAGCTGCACTTTGATTCACTGGGAAGCTGACTGAACAATGTACGGCGCCTTTACTAACTTAAGGTAGATATTATAGACACAGGAGGGCTTCTTACCTGTTTCTCGCTCCTCTCTGCCTCAGCGGAGACGATGTCGTGGCCTCTGTGTTCACTGACTGTACAGATAGCGCAGATACACATCTGGTCCGTCCGGCAGAAGAGCTCCAGGGACTTCTGGTGCTGCGGGCAGATCTTCCTGTCCAGGTTTCCTAACTCATCCACCAGCTTGTGCCTTTTGAATGTGGCTGACTCATAATGGGGCTTCAAGTGCTTCTCGCAGTAAGACGCCAGACAGTTCAGACAGGACTTGACGGCCTTTAGCTTCTTCCCCATGCAGAAGTCGCAGGGGACGTCGCTCGGTCCGGCGTAGATGTTCCCCTGGGAAGTGCTGAGGTTGAGGTTCAGACCGCTCTTCTTGATCTTCTCGGCCACCATGCTCAGGGTGGCGTTGGGCCGCAGCACGGGCCTCTGGGTGAACGTGATCTTGCACTGGGGACAAATGTAAATCCCTGTGTAGTCAGCCTCATTCCAGTAGCCGCTGATGCAGTCCATACAGAAGCTGTGGCCACATGGGATAGCCACAGGGTCCCTCAGAAGGTTCACACACAGGGAGCAGCTGAAGTAGTCTGGAGAGTTCTGGTCAGCCATTGTGATGGACTCAAAACACGGTCAGACCTGCGGAAGCAGACAGAGAGACTACCAGGAGCAGATAGAAATTTTCGTCGAGTGTGCCTGGGAGCCCGCCCTCAAGAGTGTGGTACAGCCTGCCAGAGACAGGACCTACTTGTATTTCTGAATTCCAGAGGTTATTGATTGAAAGCAGACAAGGCCCTCCCCCTGTGCTGTGAGTATATCGAGCCCTGCCCAGCTCAGATAAGCAGGTTGAGCGAGGACGGAGAGAGAGAGGGCGAGAGAGGGCGAGAGAGAGAGGGAGAGAGTGAGAGAGTGAGAGAGAGAGAGAGGGAGTGAGAGAGGGAGAGAGAGAGAAGGCGGGCGGACAGGAGAGTGAACAGAGTGTAAGACGGAGAATGAATGAAACGTGAAAAACAAAAGCAGTGACACTTAACGTGACAGAACATGTTTCCATTTTCCCTGCAGCTTCCTTTATTCTTGAATTTCTCATGTGGCTCATCTGTGGAAGTATTGCGCACACACTCGCCGGCAGCTGTATTTCCACCTATTGTTGTCAGACAGAATCGCCATTGTCTCAAACCGGTTATAGTCCGACAAACATAAATGCAGCCTAAGGTACTGTAGGAATTTACGGGACCACCCAATAAACAAACACGGAGACACGGTGGAGTTTGCAGAGTGATTTCAAACACCTCTGCTTAGTTGTTTCATTACAAAAAAAAAACACCACTTGTTTCAGAGTTAAACTTGCTGGAGGTGGTTTGTCCAAGAGCAACACGAGTTCAGAGTTGTAGTATTGTCACAGTGAGCAGTCTGACCAGTCGGTTCACTCCTGTAGATATGTGCACAGTATCTGTTTGTGCAGCAGAGGAACACACGGAGGCAGCCAAAGGAAACACACACACACACACACACATGCAAGCGTGCACACACTCACAACATTCCAGGTGTGTTGTAATGGATATTTTGCATATTTGTGTGCATTCTTATTCCAGTTATGTCGCATTTTTTCTCACCATAAAACGCGTCTCTCACACTTAGCTCATGCATTGTTATTTAAAACGAGACGGGGGACCTGAGGAGACCCCGACTCTCTGCAGCGTGAAGCGCCTGCTGACATCACAGCCTCTCATTAGCATTTCAATTAGACATAATCTACTGGTTTCCACCAATACTCAAGTCCCATTCATGGTGTTTTTTAACGTCTGTTGCTCAGGATTACTCTGAAGGTCTCTTAGATCAAAAAAGTCCTGCTTGAAATAAATTTTAAACAATGTTTGTAATGTAGTTTGCTGATCTACACTCATGTAGAAAAGTAAATCTAAGTTTTAGACAATACAGTGGCTCCACCTTCAATTGATATCTTGCATTACTTCATACACTCGGCAGTTTCACCTCGCCATATTTGGTCAGGTTTCTGATAAGCCAGTTTTTCCTTCCTTCCTCCAGAGTGGAGGGAGCGCTCTGTGCTTACAGATTAACTACCTGTCAGTGGAGGGCACCGCGGCAGGCCCACAAAGCCTTCAATCTGCCTTATAAGAGAAAAAAGATGAAAGCTACACATCACACATTTGTTCAGATATGTCCCTTCGTTTTGATAGGGCCAATACGGTCCATAATTACATTTAGGAAACAGAACACACAGCAAGGTTTAATGACGCGTCTCTCTAAAGAGTAGCCCTCTTGTTATAAGTCTGCTTTAGAGACAGAAACTCCACAGTCATGCACAGCCCAGTCCAAGTTCAAGGTAAAAGGTCAGCCTTCATTAAGGTGCAGTGAGTGTGCTTTCTGCAGCAGAACACAAATGGCTGTTTGATCAAAGGAAACAAGGACCCACTTCACCGAGTGTGGTAATAAAAACAGGAAGACGCAATATTTAAACATATTTTGGGGGGAAAGTGTGGATGGTGGTAGTTAGACAAAGACTGAGTGCTGCTGGAGACAGCTGTGAGTAAAAAGGCTGCATAACAGGAGGAAACATTTGTTTTGTCACAAACCAGCACATCCTGAATGTCTTAATGTCCTGAAGCTGAGTGAGACATGGATGAGTAAGTCATAGGAGGTGGACTAATTATGAAACAAGCTGTCATGATAGTAGCACGCAGAGCTGATATGAACTATAAATAATATGGTTAGTTGAGCTGTGTGCATGGTTTACTGGTATTTATTTGATCTTAAATGCTTGACCACACTACAATATAAATAAAACTGCTAAATTAGAAAGCCAAATTGAAAACCTGAAAATGAGCTCAGGTCTGAGGCTTTGTTTTTGAAAAAGAACTGAAAGGACTCAGGTCTGTGTTTGGGGACACGCCCTTCTCAGCTGGTCACATGCACTCTCTTTTGACAGATGCTCATTTGATCTGGTTTGAGCTCATTATTCTAATATTACTGTATGAAAGTGATTCATAGAAACATGTAGCATGTGCAGAGGATGAGGTGAAACAGTCCACCAGCTCAGACAGCGAGGCCAAGGCAGGTCAGCAGCTTCGTGTTCGCCATAAAAACTCCCTATTTTTGTTTTATGGAAACAAAGTCCACCTCATGGCCAGTAATACAGAACAAAGGGAACAATTAGGTTTGGTTTTCAATAAAAGTCACATAAAATGTCCTGACATTGTTGTCGTTGAATCACCAGCAGCTTCAGTAGAAAAGCCCGTTTTAGTGCCAAATCATATATTACTGGAGACTCTGAGAAGTGACTCAGCAAATTAGAATTCTTTATTTCACATGCACAGTAGGTACAATTAGCATTAACTACTGATGTCAGATTTAAACTATGATATAAACCTTTCTTGCAAATTAGTGATACTGCAGAGATCAGTTGAAAACAAAATATTTTACAAATTAATTTCAATATAGGTTTTAGTAAACACTCTTTTTTTTTTTTTAGCGTTGCATCACTTGCCGTACAGAGCATGACCCCAGTCAGAGGAGTTTTTGGTCCAATAAGATGCTACATTTAGTCTTGCATGTCAGCTGCAGCTACTGTTGTTGACAGACAACAGACCCTATAATGCCTGGCACTCTGGTCGGGCCCTGCTGGCTCCAACACAATGGAATCTTTTAAGCAGGCTTTCTCGGCCCTCCTGTTATCTGGGCTATCAAGTGTAGTTGCATTCCTATCTCCGTTTCAACAGCCCTGAAACTCCATCTTGGCTGGGAGGTGTGTTCCCTGTAAGATGAAATATACAGAGGAAAGTTTTCAGCTCAGAAGAGGAAACGTTCTTACAATCGCCTCGAGATCCAAACGCAGTCTCTCTTGTTCAGGAGAGTTTCACAGCTGAGCTCATGTAGCGCAGAAATACAGCTCCCGTGTTGACTTATAGAAACTGCTGACATCCTGTTAGAGGAAATCAGTGATAATGAAATGCAAAATAACACAAGTTGATAATTAACTTGTCGGCGGTGAGGTGAAGGTCAACATGTCACCGCCCTCAAACAGACCAAACCAAATGAGCTTATTCATCCATCCATCCATTTTCTATACGTGGCTTTATCCTCTGTAGGGCTGAGTTTAACCAAAGCCAAAAAAACACAAGGTTCATTTGGCATCTATCAAAATATATCACTGACTCAATGAGACTCTGATAAGACATTATGGTTCATCGCCACAACATGAGCTGTGTTATTAATCGTAAAAGTACAGAAAACAGTCTGTTCAGTGAGAGGTCAGTTTGCATTGTGAGCTGAGTTGGTATCACTCATGCCCAACGGGAACAGTCTGTCTCCAGGCAATTAGACTGCACTCAGCCGGGGAGTCTGATAAATCCAAGGTCTCTTAACTCCTTAGTTTTCAATTTCTTCTTCTTCTTCTTTTTTTTTTTTTTTTTTACCATTTCTAAGATGCAAATTCTACTAAAAATATTAACTTCCAATGATCTGACTGCACCTCTGTAATGCCCTAAAATATAAAACAAATCCTAAAGGCCTCTCTAATCGTCTCTTTCTGTTGTTGTAGCGTCAGTTACAAAATAAAAAAAAAAGAGAAACTACAGCTTTGCTTTCAGTACTCGAAGCCAAAACTTGTATCTTTTCATCACACATTTCATACATTCTCTTTGCATTCTGTAACAGATGGACGCACTCACTGTGTCCTTTGCTATCCCCGCCCTTGTTTTACTGGTTTCGGCTTAACCAGTTTATCCTCCCTCTCTGTTTACTCTATATAACTTGCACCCGTAGCACCTGTAGGATCACTTTGCCTCTGTGCTGACACAAGTCAGACGGCGTTCTCAGCATCTGCACCGCATTAGAAGGACCAGCACCAAGTCCGCACTAGAAGGACCAGCACCAAGTCGTCACCATGTCCACTGACCAAGACACCTGCTACCTGTGTAAGGAATATCTCAGGGACCCCGTGTCCATCCCATGTGGACACATCTTCTGCTCAGTCTGCCTGAAGACATACTGGGACCATGCTGACCACACGGGCTCGTACAACTGCCCCGAGTGCAGGGTCACCTACAACAAGAGACCCACTCCGAGACGCTTGGGAGGCTCCCGGCAGTCCACCATCCAACGCAACTCGGAATCTTTCCCTCCGCCACCTCCGTCCCCCGACTACAACTACGCAGGACCCCAGGACGTCGGCTGCGACATCTGCGTCGGCAAGAAGCAAAAAGCCGTCAAGACCTGCCTGATGTGTCTGGCCTCCTACTGCGAGAGGCATCTCAAGCCCCACTACGAGTCGGCCACGTTTAAAAGGCACAAGCTGGTGGATGAGATCGGCCACCTGGACCGGCAGATCTGCCCGCAGCATCAGAAGGGTCTGGAGCTGTTCTGTCGCACCGACCAGATGTGTATCTGTGTGCTGTGTACGGTGAAGGAACACAAAGGTCACGACATGGTGTCAGCTGAGCAGGAGAGAGCCGAGGAGCAGGTGGGCGACGCTTTACTCAAACTGCTAACAGGCAATAATAATAATGCTTAAAAGGGGCTTTGCTCAACATGATGAAGCTTTTTATGAATCTGGACTGTTCCATGTCCATACTGTGTACTGAGTCACTGCAGGAGTGGCACAGTGGCAAGCAAAGAATAAAAGGACAGCAAACAATACATTTAACAATCAGATCCTGGAGTGCTTTTAGATGGATAAGAGTGAAGATAAGGCTTTGGCTGCACACACAGGTTGCAGTGTTGTTACTCTGTGCCTCACATTTAAGTTTGATAAAACTCTCAGCTAGATGATTTAGTGCATTTAAGTCGTTTATTTGTGGAACTGCTGCTATAATCACCAACAATTCCTGTTGTTTGACCTGCAGCAACGACTGGGCGCCACCCAGGCCGAGATCCAGGAGAAGATTCATGACCGCCTCAAGCAGATGGAGGAGCTAAAACAAGCAGTGGACTCACTCAAGGTTTGTACCGCTAACATCAATCAGCCAGATAAGAGCCATCTAACCGCAACAAATTGAATGGAAAGTTAAATCCGCTCCCGACTCCGACAACATTCCTTCTTGTAAGGAGTGATGTCAGCTTGTTGAAGCGTTCCAGTAAAACCAGTGTGGCTCCCGCGTGATTTATGACAAACCCTCATGTCTCCCGTGCAGAGCTCAGCCCAGAGAGCCCTGCAGGAATGCGAGAAGATGTTCAGCGACATGATGCGCTCCATTGAGAGGATGCAACAGGAGATGGCCAAGCTGATAACCTCCAACAAGAGAGCAGCGCTGAGCAACGCAGAAGGACACATGGAGCGTCTGAGCCACGAGATCGCCGACCTGAAGAGGAGAGACAACGAGATCAGCCAGCTGTCCCGCACCGAGGACCACATCTACTTCATCCAGGTACCGTGGAAGCATGTTCAGTACGAGGCGTCGACACACCGCCTCTATCCATCTGTCATTTGTCTACGCTGCAAAAACAAACAGAGAGCATCACGTTATCTTAAAACAATGTTGTTGTTTCTCATCCCCAGTGTTACCACATGCTGATAGCGCAGACGGAGGCCGAGGAGCTGCCCACTGTCAGCGTCAACCCCTACTTCAGCTTCGGCCCGGTGACCAAGGCCGTCTCCGAGATGAAACAGCACCTGGGCGAATTCAGCAACGATGAACTGGTCAAAGTGGCCAAGACAGGTGAGTGTGGAGCCGGATCACACCTGAAGGGTTTAATGCTGTTTTCCGGTGCTGGGATCAAATCACCACTGTAGCCATATTAATGCTTTTTTCTAATTTTGCAGTTAACAAAATGACCTTCTGTGAACTGGATGAAACCAAAAAGAGACGGTCAGTAAAAGGTGAGTCAGCCTTTCAACAAATAAAACCAGCTAACTTGCCTAATGCTGATGTGGCTAACAAAGAAAAACAGGGTAATAATAACAATATCAGCACAGAGTTAATCCAGAAAGCCAGCACATGTATTGGACTTCGAAACACATTACATCCGCATTACACTGACTCAAATGCAAGTTTTGCATAGTTTGACCAGGAAAACTCAGACAGATTTATAATTTCCTCTGTGCTCAGCTGGGCTTTGTGCAAACCCTGTGTGCTGTTTGGCTGTGATTTTCATTAGAGGGCATCCTGAGGTCACGCAGTTGCCGCATGGTTAAACTGTTTACTTTGAATGTCAGGATGCCAGCAAGTTTATGTTAACACGCTTCTCTGAAATACAAATCAGCCCCGTTGCACGAGCTTAAAAAGTTCAGATCAGCTTTAATGTGACGGTGAGACAACCTTGTGTCGTATTGTTAAAGGAATTTCTAAGAATTGCTAGCAGGGTGTAACAGAAATGATTTATGTAATATCGCTTAAAAGCAGTTTGTAATTATAACTATTTCCTTTCACAGGTGATGAAGCCGCCATGTACAAGCCTGTCAAGTCTGCACCAATCCAGGAGCCTCAGTACAGGGAGGACTTCATGAGATGTGAGTTTCCTGGAGTGACACAGTTCGCTGCTCTCTCTGCTCCATTCAGTCCAAATTAGATGCTGATGAGCTTCTCTGTCAGACCCTGTGGCTGAACCATAAAATCTGATTTTGGTAACTGCTGTATGTCCCACGGTGCTGACAGAGACCGGGACTGATTCACTGCCAATGTTTTAGCGAGCTGGCACTTCACAGCTGTGTGCTTTTTGCTTCAGTTGCAGTTTAATTGCTGCCTCTTTGTTTTCACTGAGTGTGTTAAAAGGCTGATGTTCACTAAGCAGTCAGACTGGGGGGGAGATGTAAGGGGATGCTTTGTTTTTTAAAGAATATCCTTTTTGATCGGTAGCTAGTTTTTTTACTTGTATCCAATCTGAAAGCCCAGAATCTAAAGCTCGGGGAGAAACTGCATAATCTTTGAAGAATGGGACTCAGAGATGGTCTTTGTTAGGTGAACTTCTGTTTGTGGTCAAACTCACAAACAGTGTTGATACCTCTGGCATTCCAGATAATAGGCCGGGCAGATCTAGCCGAGGCCACCGGGTGTCCCACCAACTGTGACCTGCTGAGCTGGAGGTGCACAGCAGGCAGGTGACATCTAACCCCTCAGATTATTCTCATTTCTGTGTGTCCAGCCAGAGGGTCTCCCACTTTACCAGCACTTAGTTAAACATCTAACAGAAATAGAAATGTTAATTCCATTCTGCTAACCTCTGGGACCTTGCGGTTGGTGGCAGCTTCGGCCTTCTTGGGTTTCCTCATTTACATTTGACCCTAAGCTAAACGCGTCGTCTCGTTAAGTAAATGATTAATTTGTCTTCTGTCCTTTCCCAGATGCCTGTCAGCTCACTCTGGACCCGAACACAGCCTACCGACAGCTCTACTTGTCTCGAGGGAACAGGAAGGCAGCCCTCAAGAGAGACCCCCAGGCCTATGGCGACAGCCCCGCCAGGTTCGACTCCCTGCCCCAGGTCCTGTGCAAGGAGCCCCTCTCTGGGGGCGCCTACTACTGGGAGCTGGACTGGAGCGGGGAGGGGGCTGCCATCGGCGTCACCTACAAAGGCATCAAGAGGACGGGCTACGGCGACAGCTGCCGCATCGGCTACAACCGCAAGTCGTGGAGCCTCTTCTGCTCCGACTCCAGCTACTCGGCCCGCCACAACAAGGACCAGGTAGAGGTCAGCGCGCCATACTCCTCCCGCATCGGGGTCTTCCTGGACCACGCCGGGGGCACTCTCTCTTTCTACACCGTCGGGGACACCATGTCTCTGATCCACCGCTTCAAGGCCTCCTTCACTGAAGCTGTCTATCCGGGCCTCTGGGTTTGGTACGAGTCGGCCGTCACCATCATCCAGCTGTGATTCAGAACACGTGATCAGCGCAAAACAAGGAAGTAGTTCTGATCCGATTTTACAGGAAATATAACGATTCTGTGATGACATGTTACGATTCTTTTACAAGACCAGATATGTTGTTGTTGTTGTTGTTGTTGTTGTTGTTGTTGTTGTTGTTGTTTTTTACACTGCTGTATACAATATGTTGATCAGGGGAACTGTTCTTGATGAATGTAAATGTTTTACAAATCAACAATGAGATGCAGAAAGTGAACGAGCATTTAAATTATATTTATCAATCATGAAGGCTGTACTTGATTGAGATACATGGTGATCATTCAGATTGTCACATTTATTTTTTATCAATAAAAATTTGATAACAAACATAAAATGTGATTTTAAAAATGTTTTTTCTTTTACTTTTCTTCATCCAGACTTATCAAACCATCGCGTCTTGTTCCCTGTTAAAGCTTTAAATTGGAGACGGAAGAGAACAGATATTATTTATTCAGTCTTTTATTCTTGCAATAGGCAAAAGACACAAGTCTTGTTTTTAAAAAAACTGATGCCTCTACAGCTGCTCAGTGATCCTTTATTGTTCATATTATTGCTCCAAGTCTTAGGAACTCTTCTGGAGGGATGAACACCATTTATCCAAAAGATATTCCCTCATCTGGCGTTGTGATGATAGGGGTCTATGTGCTAACACACTGGTGTTGAGCTGTGAAGGCCACATCATGTGATTCACGTTTCCATCGAACCGCTCAGTGACCCCTCACGCCGGATGAAAGCATTGTCATCCTGGAAGAGGCCGCTCCCATCAGGATGGAAATGTTTTATCTTAGGATAAAGGTGATCATTCAGAACAACGTTGTATTGATTGATCCTTACCTCTAAGGGGCCAAGTGGACCCAAACCATACCAGCTAAATACCCCCACAGCACAGCAGAGCCTCCAGATCCCCCAGCGTAGAGAAACTCTTGGACTTCACATGTACTCATCCACTTGTTGAAAATATGCTGAACTCATCTCGCCACATCACTTTTTTCCACATCAGTGCTTGCTGCGTGGCTGAACTCTCTTTGTAATGAGGGTTAATGCACTGCAGTGCTACTGCCACATCCTCTCTCTGTAACTGCCGATGGACTGTTCCTGCTGACAGTTTGATCACAGACTGACATTCTCAGTCACCCGAGGAAGTGTTGCTCTTCAGCTGTTCCTAAATATCGCAGTGATGCATCAAAACTGAACCGTCAGCCACAGTACCTGAGCTGACCCTGTCTTTAAACAGATCTAGATCCAGATGTCACTTTGGTAATCTATTAAAACAGTCTGAGCAGACTTTGCTACAGAAGCTGCTGCCCCAACTGTCAACACTCTCAAAGCCCCGGCTGTGTTTGTTCCATCTGTAGCATTTCAGGAACAGTGTCCTGGTCTGTAATGTGACAAACCACAGATACTGTGTGTTCATATTAAAATGTTGCATTACCAACATTCCAAAAAACTGAAAGTAAAGTGGATCAACTTTCAGGAGCGGAGAAGCAGAGCGACAATGTGTTTGTGTGTTATCAGCAGAGCTTCATGTTTGAACAGCCGTGTTGTTTTTGCAGAAGTCTGAGGAGTTTGCTAGAAGCTGGTGAACAGGTGAAGTGTACCTGAGAGGCTCCTGAGTTAACACATGGCTGAGACTCGCTGCTGACGGGACGATCAAGTGAACTCTCTGAGGTCAACGTACTTATTATTACGTACTCATGGCTGCGCATGGTTGCACAAAGCAAAAGCAGCTACTTGAACTCCGCTTCATTATAGGTTGTAAACCTGAATCCACTTCATTGAGTTTTTATTGTGAAGCATGTTAGAAGTGTGACTGCTCTGATGACATACCAGGAAACATCTCAGGTGGTGATAATGACAAAGAGACTCTTTACTGCTAGTGTAGCTTTCAGTATCCTTCTGCTGTGGTGTTGGAATGAAGTCACTACAGTTTGTGGAATCCTTGGCATTAAGGAAGAGCTTTGAAGATGTGGTAGAGAGGATATGAAACCCCCTCCAGAACCGTCATAGGCAGCAGGGGAGGTTTGTGCAGTGATATACTTGATGTACATGTTTTTCACAATTTGTCTGGGGGCTGACTGGAAGAACGGCTCCAGACTTCCACAACAAAGATAAGGGATGAGATATTTTTGCAAATATGGTTAACAAAAAGGAAAAAAAGGAGAGACAAATCTCAATCTCATGTCCTCTAGACTTAATATGTTTCTGATTGTAGTCACCACATTTTGCAGATGCACCAAAGTACACTGATTAAAAAAAGATTACATTCGTCAGGCTCTATTTGATTTTTGCACGTCGTAAGCTGGTGACAAAGAGCACCTCCTCAGACCTTTAGTAAAACTATGAGCCTTGCTACCTCTGCTGGAGGAATGTATGCAGTGCTGCTCACCGAGGCTTTCATCAGCCTCTGTTAGTGCTGACTGTGGGAAAAGCTTCTGAATAGGAAGATGATTCATTGTTGGAAATTTTTCTAAAAAAACAAACATTTCCAGTCGTGCAAAAAGTGTTCATTGTCTAGACTGGCCCGGCTCACCTGTGGCTTAGACCGTGCAAACACTGCAGATAATCTGTCACCATGGGATCAGCTATTTTAAACAAGCTACCTCCCTGAACAAATACATCCTACCAGTCTCCATACTGTGCTGTTGGATGCCTAACATTTTATCACTATATGTTAAAGGAACTTCTTCATGTTTTCTGAGAGCAGGTTTTTGTAGCTTTTTGCTGTGAGAACATTAAATGTAAAATACCAAGCTGATGATCACACCAACCCCAAGACAGTCTGAAGAGTGAAATACACAGATTCAAATGTCAGAAAGACCCACAATTCAGAATTCAGGTTTGTACATTGATATCAGCCTCAAATTATTTGACAAGTTGCTGTTTTTGTTTTTTAATAATTTGTAAATCAATAGTCTTTATTGGTATAAATATGAAGTTAACAAGCTTGCCAAAAATATCAAGGATAGTGTAGTTTAAAAAATAAAATAAAATCAATAAATGTAAGTATTTAATTAAGTGTACTAAGGAGGAAAAGAAGAAAAACTGTAAATATGTGTTGAGTGTGCCACATGTTTAATAGGCTATATCAAGATAATTCTCATACTCAGCGGTGTTTTATTTATTTATCTCATAGCTTAAGACATGCAGTCACTGATTGTGAAGGTTGGCGTACTACATGCCAACACAATCCGTTGTTTGTTGTTGTTTTCTGGCAAATCAACAAATCAAGCTTTTTAAAGTATTCAGTATCGTTGTAGTTATTGTCTCCTATGAGAAAGTGCAACTGATAATTGATCCTTTAAGGGTTTGAATTCCCAGTTTCGGGTCAGAAATCAATGACGTTTGTTTGAGTTTTGGTTTCGTGCCTTTATTGTTACTGATAAGTATCTTTTGTTAATGAGAGAGACAGACTCTGATGATAAGGAGCTGAAGGCCGTGTTAGTCTGAGGCTGATCAGTGTTGGGTGTTATCTGATCAGTTAGTCTCAGGACCAGCTGAAGAAAAGGGACTTTTTTAAAGGGAATTCTGCTCTTGGGTTTACTGTGCCTGAAATGTGTTTTGGCGGCTGAGATGTAACCAAACCTGAAATGCACTCCCCACATGCATGTCCATAATAAACCTTCAGTTGGGACTTTATACAGTTTATACAGTTTATAAGAACACATGCTACATACTACAGTATGTCTCCATGCCTGGTGTAAACTGAGACAAGCTCCTGTATTTACCGCCTCTGTGCCGCCGAGTCCACAGAGGGCAGTCAACCTCAGAACTTTCACGTAGAAAACAAACACAGCTTGTTTCTCGTCGGACACATTTACTCAGCGCACCTCCAGAAAGACGCGCCGCATTGTCACATTTGTCACTAGTGTGGCTGCAGGTGAGTGTAGATATGTGGGATATACCTTTTATCTTACTTTTTTAAACCTCGATGTTGCGGCATGTAATTTAAATCCTCGCTATCGACTCGAGCATCACGTCTCCACCGGATGTAGCTTTATTGAAGCAGAAAGCTATGAATGGAGCTAGCTCACTCGCTAACACAACATTAGCCACCGTTAGCATCAGATGCCGCTATTGTAGCCCCGTGGAGGCAGCGGTAGTTGACATTTGCAGCTTCCGTTTGCCGTTTTTTCTCAAAATGTATTTTAGCGACATGTGTGCTTATCGTTGCTTATATCAGAAAACACAAATGTGAGGAACAAAAAAGCAACAGAAACGAGGCTAACGTTAGCATTGTGCTACTTCTGTGTTGTGGCATTCGTTACAGCTGTCACTATGACAACCGACTGGACCAAACCGACTCTTTCACCGCGTTGTTAACTAGTTATTAGTCTAACTAGCTGGTTATTGTAAAGCTGTGTTTAGTGAAGTGTGTGTGTTGTGAGTTGTGCTGCTGTAGCACGAGGCTCAGAGAGAGAACTAGCTAACACACTTCATGTTTAGATGGTTGTTCTAACAGTAACACGTGTTTTATTCTCACTAATACACATATTTGCAGTTTATAATAATGTCCTTCCAACTAAAGACACGTGGCTCTTTTAAAATGAATAAATAATGTAGAGATACCTGGGTAAAGAGTTGAACAATGCACCAAGCAGATCTTTTTTTATTGAGCATATATCTTGTGCAGCATGTTTAACCAGAGCCTGAAGCACCGTGTTCAAGGTTTCACACATTCATGTTGTCCTTCTTCAGTGACAGTCATCCTTGTTCACGTGCTCCTCACATGCATTAAACCTGCTGCACAGTGAATATGGAGCTTAACTGTCAAAATACTGTAAAACAAAATCTGACAGAAGAATGAGATGTTTCTCGGTAGTATTATTACATCTTCTGATTTGTACTTGTACTTACTACAGATGGCGACTACAAAGGTTCCAGAGGTTCGTGACATCACACGGATCGAGAGGATTGGTCAGTACACTGTCTCATAATGGTGTGGTGACCATAACAAGTGTTGATGGGGTTTGTGCGGTACTCTACATGTGGGTAATAACACTGTGTTTATCCTGACCGTGTGTTTAGGGGCACATTCTCATATTCGTGGCCTCGGTTTGGACGATGCTTTGGAGCCCAGACAGGTAAGTCTGGAATTCATATTCTACAACTCTGGTGGGACTTTCGTGTCATTAAATTAAGGCAAAGAGGGTTTTTCAGGGGTCCAGACGAATTTCTTACATTAGCTTCACTGATGCACCATGTCCACGTCGATGTACCCCAACTGTTTTGTCACAAATACATTTCAGTCGTTACCTTTTTGTCAGTTCCCATACACAGCGTTACATGAATGATTGTTAGCAGGAGTAAAGCTGCTTGTACACTGAAGCTGTTCTT